CTGTGTAGAAGGAGATGATTTCCAAATTGCCAAGTTGTTAACCCTTTTTTAATCTTATGATTTATTCAGGGGGGGGTGTTTATATGTAAATTATTTCATTTATTCTCCCTTATATCCGCCATTAAATATATCTGCTCATGGACATACATTTTTTTGTGGTTTAATTAAATAAAATAGTTAATTAAAAATAATTACGAATCGTACTAACTTTATGTTAATTATTATGATAATATGTACTGATTCTCAAAGACATTTAGTAGGAGGTGTTAATTGGAAAATCTTTGATTTGTAACCTTCATTCACGCATACATTCACACATACACATACTTTCACACACACACACACACATACAAACACACATACAAACACACACACATAAATACATACATACAAACGAACGTACGTACATACATACATACATATTTACTTACATACATACAAACAAACATACACACACATTGACAATACACATACATACAAACAAACAAACTTACATACAAACATCAGTGCAAGTATTCGCTTAATTAGTTTTGCGTGAATGTGTGCAGTGAGTGTATGTCTCTCTGTAATGTGTTTATTGCTCAACTGATGTATTGACGAGTGAGCATTGTTATGAACATTTTTGTACATCAATAACAATAAAAATATCAATAATAAAAATACTTTAGCTGCCACCACCACTACTACTACTAATACTACTACTAATACTACTGCTACTACTACTACTAATAATAATAATAATAATACCACCACCCCCACCACCACTACTACTACTACTACTACTACTACTACTGCTACTACTACTACTACTACTACTACTACTACTACTACTACTACCACAACTACTACTTCTACGGAAGCTACTACAGTTTATACTACTACTACTACTACTTTAACAGCTGCCTTTAATAATTTTACAATAGGACATAATAATAATAATAATAATAATAATAATATAATAATAATAATAATAATAACAATGACAATGATGACTTTTCATTACACATTACTTTCGGAAAGTAATATTATTATTAACTTGAGTTAATCAATGCCCACAATGATGATCGTCATCATCATCATCATCATCATCATCATCATCATCATCATCATTGTCATCATCTCTACTGCTACTACTACTGCTGCTGCTGCTGCTA